AGGGGGGATGAGGGGGAGGGGTGTCCCATACCTTCATCTTCTCACCTATAAATGAAGGTGAGATGCTCCGAGATCTCCTCTGGCACAGGGGTCCTCTGGGGATACAAACTTACTCCAGGCTGGAGTGTCTTCCCACTTGGTATTCTGTGGTGCCTGTTCAGAGGGAAGAATAGGGGATGGATGTGCTGGACAAGCCCAGCCTGTCTCCTCCAACAATAGCAGATGGGCTGGAGGCTGTCCCCAGTTCCCAGCTCTGGGGGAGGGCAGAGGGGAAAATGAAGGTGGGTGGTGTCTGAGGCCCAGACGGGGCCTTTGATGTGTGCATGGATAGGTGGGTGGATGGGCCTGTAATAGGGGCTGCTAGGGAAGGAGGCAGGGGAGCCCCCAAGGGCACCCTCAGCTTGACCCACTTGGGCTCCCCTGTAATTGCTTCCTTCCTGGGCAGACTACAAATAGGGGTGTGCGGCCTACAGGCTCCTACAGTGGAATCACCAGCACCAGCGGTAAGTGCCAGCTGAGTCCTGCTCTGCATTCGGCGTGGGGTAGCTGGGGGTCTGTCTTCTGGCCCGGGGTCCTGGATTGGGGCTGGCGGGACAACCAGAGCAGGGTCTCATGAGGTGCGGGAAGTCAGGGTTAGTGGACTCGGGGTTTCCCTGTACAGTGAAGGGCTGTTGGGAAGTTTGGGTCAGGGGGTGTGCAGAGCTGAGGTCTGGCCTTGGGGCGGGGGCATTCAGCTAAAAGCACTGTGCTACCCGCAGTGAGCTCCCTCCTCCTGCCTTCTTTCCTACCAATGGGTTGAGACAGGCCAGGCTGCGTGGGGAAGAGAGGATTCCCTCCAGTTTCCAGGCACCAAGCTTCTGGAAAAACAGTGGTGGCGCCAGGCAGGCTGGCAGAAGCCCAGAAGGGCAGCCCAGCACCCCTGAGGTTCCCTTTTCCCTGGGACCATAGCCTTTTCCTCTCCTGGGAATCCAGACACTCCAATCCTGGGCTGTCTCAAAGAGTTGGACCTTTGGGGGTGCATAGCCCCATCACCCGCTTCCTCTACCCCCCAGCCACACATCATGTGCTGGCCATTGGCACCAGAGGGCCCAGCAGAGGGGGAGTCATTAGGGGGAGAGGCTTGGCACTGGCTCTCTAGTGTTGCAAGACTCCTGTCCCCCGGGGGAACCAGGGGTGAGTCATTGGGCTCACATGGAAACAACACTTGCCTTCCTGGCTGCCTTATGGCTTCACCAGGCTGGAGGTGCACCCCAGAGGGCAGTGAAAGGGGCCAGTGGAATTGCGGGGAGGGGGGTGCGGGCAGGGGTGGGGAATTCCAGGAAGGGCTTTCCTTTTAAAAAAATATCTATCTATCTATCTATCTATCTATCTATCTATCTATCTATCTATCTATCTATCTTTCTATCTATCTAAGAAAGGAAGGGAGAGGGAGGGAGAAACATCAATGATGAGAGACAATCATTGATTGGCTGCCTCCTGCATGCCCCACACTGGGGATTGAGCCCACCACCCAGGCATGTACCCTTCACCTGGGCCCCTTCAGTCCATAGGCTGATGCTCTATCCACTGAGCCAAACCGGCTAGGGCAGGGCTTCCCTTTTAACAGAACAAGGTACCCCTATGCAGAGCCTTCTGTCTCAAGACCCCTACGAGCCAGGGGGATGGCCTCAGATGGGGAAGATTAAAGATAGGTAAACACCTGAGCCGGCTTCCTGTTTAGGCCTGTGAGTAAGATTGACCCCACTTTACAGATTAGGCACCTGAGATCCAAACAGGCAAATGGCTCATCCAGGGTGAGAGGCAGAGAGGATCCCAGAAGCATTTCCTTTGGATGCAGCTTCCCTGAGTCAGGGAGGAGGGATGGAGAGGGATGGTGAGGCGATGGGGGTCCCTCTCAGACTCCACCCTTCCTAAGAACGCCCAGCTTCTCCAAGGGCCGAGGACAGGGAGCACGGGCAGGGTCTCTTTGAGCAAGTTTCCACGGAAGCTCTGGGGTCTTGAAGGGGAAGAGGCTTCCAGGGCCAAGGGCTGTATGTCCTCGGGTGGAGCCAAGTGGGATGAGTCCTTCCTGGGTGTCCAGGATGCGAATAGTTGAAGAGAATCAGGAAGTCGGTAGGGAGTTCCTGTGGGGTTTGCCGAGATGCTGGAGAAATGAGACCTCTGTTGGGGGCGCACAGTAGGTGGCACTGGTGTGGTCAGGAGGGCTGCTTAGAGAAGGAGGGCTTGTGGGGCGAGAAACCTGGGGGAGATGAAGACAGGTCTGGAAGCAGTCATGGAAGCCTGGAGGGCCGAGTGCAGGGCGGTGACCCAGGCCTCTGCTTCTTCTGTGACAGTGAGGATGGCTCGGCCTCTGGAGCAGGCGGTGGCTGCCATCGTGTGCACCTTCCAGGAATATGCGGGGCGCTGCGGGGACAAGCACAAGCTCTGCCAGGCAGAGCTCAAGGAGCTGCTGCAGAAGGAGCTGCCCACCTGGATGCCGGTGAGCGTTTCGGGGAGGCACTGCCTGGATGAGCTCTGAGCATCGGACAGCAGGAGGGCGGGGAGGCTAGACCGGGGGAGGGGGTGCTGGGGAGGGAACTGACATGACAGGAATCTGTTTCCTCATCACACCTGCTGCTGGAGGGTGGAGTGAGCACTGTGAAGAACGCCTAACACACAGAGGCACTCAGCAGCACTAGCGGGGGCTCAGTAAATGGCTGAGAAGGAGGGTTTGGGAGGGGCATTGGGATGGTGAGTTCTCAGGGCAGGTGGGCTGAGATTGGCTCTCAGAAGGGCTGTGGGTTGGAATGGGATCATCCAGGAGTTGGGGGAGGGAAGCAGTGTGTGTGTGTGTGTGTGTGTGTGTGTGTAAGGTGTTTTGCCCTCTTGACCTGCCCCCCATCAACCCCACCCATTCCCCCCACAGACGGAGTTGCGGGAGTGTGACTACAATAAATTCATGAGTCTTCTGGACACCAACAAGGATTGCGAGGTGGACTTTGTGGAGTATGTGCGCTCCCTTGCCTGCCTCTGCACCTACTGCCATGACTACTTCAAGGACTGTCCCCCGGAGCCCCCCTGCTCCCAGTAGCCTCTGCTCCAGCGCTGCCCCCGAAGGTCTGCTCCGATCTGCTCCATCTCTGCGCTGAGGTGGCCCTGGGCACGACCCCCACACACTCCTCCCCTCTCTCCTGCACCCTCTCCATCAGGAGACCCCTAGCGTTGCCCCTGATAGCTTAACCCATTTTGCTCACGGTGGGGGGCACAGGAAGGGACCTGTTCCCAGGACCACAGCGGGTGGTATGTAGAGCAGCCACCCGCTGCCTCCCCACAGAGGCCCCCGATGGGCGGAGGTGGGGATCTGCTCTGAGGCTGTCCAGGCCCAGCAGAGTGTGTGCATGAATGAAACCACAACAGGAACAGGCCTGCTTAACTCCTAATAAAGAACTGGTGTCGCTTGGCTTGGTTTGGTTCTTTTAAGAGGACAGCGAGGGCCTTAGGGCAGAATCCATTGACGTCTTTGCTCCTCTCTGGCTTTTTCCATTGAACAGGAGGCCGAGGGCAGTTTCAGACCCTGCAGAAACAAAATGGTCTCCCCCGTCCAGCAGGAGGGGGTGGGGATCTACACAAGGATGATGTTCAAGGGAGGCTGGGGAGGGGGGGTCTCTCTCCCCCTTGGGCTATTGAAGAGGGCGAGAGGGCAGCTGAAGTCCCGATGGATCTCAGTCCTCGGGACAGGATGTTCTGAGTGAGGGTGGAGCTGGGGGGTGGGGCTGGTTTGTTCCCTGCCTGGGGCTGTGGGAGCCCAGAGAGCAGCACTAATAGGATTAGGGTGCCAGAGGTCCGATTAGGGTGTTGTCCAAGCCAGGGAGGGCTTCCTTGCATTGGAGGGGGAGGGGGGACCTTGAGGCAGACCCCATCCCTGAAGCCACAGCCACCTGAGGGTCTTAACCCTCGACTTGTGACCCTCACTTAATCCCTGAATTCATACCTCACTCTGAGGGGCTAACCGTGACCCTTCACTCCATCTCTTTGTGCCATTTCACCTCTAATTTTCCACCCCATTCTTCATTCCTGACACCCACCCAGCTCTAAACTCTCCTCCTGAGGCCCTCCCCGCCCCACCTGCTCCTGGTGCCTTCGGTCCATCCCTGAACTCCCAGCCTGACTCCCACTCCCTAGTCCATCACTACCTCACCCAGGACCCTTCTCCACGGAGAAGCTTGGGTGGTCCCAGCGCCTCCTTTGGGTGTTAGGCTGTCCCTTCTCCCAGACCTCTAGGTCCTGCCCGGGGTCTCACTCAGCATGGCAGAGAGTCCTTGGGGGAGGGGAGAAAGACCGAGTGAGCTGTCCCAAGCTCTGAGCCTGGGGTCCCCTCCCTGAGTTCCTGGGCGGTCACATATTCAGGGCAATTTCCCAGCCACCACCCACCACACCTGTATCCCCTTTCCTAGCTGCTGGATGGGACCACCTGCTCCCTGTCCCCCATGCCCCAGGCATAAACTGCCCCTTCCTCCAGCTCCCTAAAACTCAGGCCGTGTACACGGGGGTACCCACCTCACTGAGGCCCCTTGCCTGTACTCACTGGGGCTCTTGCATTGTCTATCTTTGGCTCCTCAGGGCAGGGAGTGGTGCTTCCAGGCTGGGCTATTGGAGGGGGCCCTGGCTCGCACCACATTGGCCCAGGCAGGAGGGCTGACTCCTCTCTCTCCCCCATCCTGCATGGGCAGGGCCTGGCCGGGGTATAAATAGGTCAGACCGCTGGGCTCTCCCCACTCTTCCTGTCTCCCCAAACTTCTCTCTTCAGTGCTTCCCCTCTCTTCAACTGGTGAGTTGTGGTTACCTGACTGGCATGCAAGGGATGTCAGGCTGAGGCTCGGGGCAGGAACCAGGGGGGCTGGTGGGGCCCAGCTGTGCTAAATGGGTGCATACATGAGATTCCAAGGTGGAGGCTCGGGGGTGGGATGCGTGCGTGCGCGCCTGTACATGTGCAAGAGAAGGAAAACAAAGAGAAAGGTGGCTGGGTTGGAGCGATAGTATGTTTTATTGCTGTGGTATGCTTGGTGTGCGTGTGACCTGTGGGTGTGTACATTGGCTTATGTTTGCTGGCTGGCAACAAGCCTGTGTGTGCATGCTCTGGGGTGGGAAGCAAAATGAAGGCAAAAGGCAACCCTGGGCTTTTGTCTGGCAGTGTCCCTGAGCCTCTGCCCAGCACCCAGCAGCCCAGCCCAAGGGAGCTTGGCCTCCCCTGCATCCCTGCCCCTGCCACTTCACTCTGCCCCTCCCTATGCTAGACCGCTGGTGTTTTCCGCTACAGACTCCTGGGCAGGCCTCCAGCAGCCTCGCCCAACACAGGGAGGGAGAAGAATGAGCTGGGCGGGCTGCTGTGGGCTGAGCTGTGGGACTGAATGGACGCAGTGAGGCCCTGGGAGCTTGCTGCCTAAAGTTCAGAGTCTGCGCAGTGGGCCCTGCAAGTGATTGCCGCCCAAGCTCACATTTCCCACTGTGCACACCCTCCGCGCCAGGACCTGAGCCCCACCTTTCTGGGCTTCCCTCGTGGAGGGCGTGGTGGGCGTGGTGGGCGCAGAATGTCACCCAGTGCTCCTTGAGTTGATGGGAGTGGGGTGGGGCATTCTAATCACATGGCTGGGGAAGGGTGGGGAAAATAAGGGTGCCTCTGTGACCCCCGCCCCCAGATCTCGACCGCCACCATGACTTCCCCCCTGGAAAAGGCCCTGGATGCGATGGTGTCCACCTTCCACAAGTACTCCGGCAAAGAGGGTGACAAGTTCAAGCTCAACAAGTCTGAGCTAAAGGAGCTGCTGACCCGGGAGCTACCCAGCTTCTTGGGGGTGAGTGACTACTGCCTGGGAATGAGTCCCCCTCTGGGGCGTTCCCCACAGGGGAGGGGTTAGGGCCCCCGGGAGGCACCAGTCTTTCTGCAGAGCAGTGGCTCCCGCACTGGCATCTGTCACCGGTTGGGGCAGCTCGCTCTGGTTGCCTGGGTTGGAATTAGAGTGAGCACTCATCACCACTCACATCCTGGCGCCCAGCACAAAGGTGGCTGAGAATGAGCAGGTAGGTAACGGGCCAGACAACTGGCCAGGGGCTTTACGCAACTTAATTGAAGTTCGGCAACTAAAACGCTCAGAGAGGCTAAGGAACGTCCCCAGGTAGTCAGTGTGCAAAGCTGAGATCGATGGACCAGGACGGCCCACCATCACTCCAGTAAAAAACAATTTTTGGTCGCTCCTCGGCCTTTTGGCTAAGATCAAGTGTAGTATCTGTTCTTATCAGTTTAATACCTGATCCGTCCTCTATCCGAGGACAATCTATTAAATAGATTTTTGGAGCAGGGAGTTGAAATAGGAGCTTGCTCCGTCCACTCCACGCATTGACCCGGTATTGCAGTACTTCTGGTGCACACACAAAAAAAAAACACCCCTGAATAGGAGCTTGCTCCGTCCACTCCACGCATTGACCGGTATTGCAGTACTTCTGGTGCACAAAAACAAAAAAACAAAACAAAAAAAACCAAGAAAAACAAACAAACAATTTCTGAGTTTCTATTAGGCTTTTAGATGTGAAGACACAGTTATGGAGACACTCACACACCTATTTCCCCTGATCAGTCACAGCTCCCATCCGTATCAAACTTGATGCAGTTTATCTATTGCGTTCATGACCATTGTCTACTTGGACTCTTAAAAAGTCCTTAGGGGAAGACGTGGTCCTCTTTTCCAGTTGCATCCTGGCACTCAGATTTCCTCACCTGCGGGTAACCCACCCCCAGCCGAGCTTAGCCGTGAGGGTTGGAGTTCCAAAGCTGGCCCCCAGGAGTGTTGTGCCCTCCTAAGCCCCACTTGCAGGTGGAAACCTGGTCTAGTCATGGCTCTGTCCCCTGGACTGCTGGTGTCTACCTGTAGCCTCTTCCCCCCGCAGAAAAAGACAGATGAAGCAGCATTGCAGAAGCTGATGAGCAATTTGGACAACAACAAGGACAACGAGGTGGACTTCCAGGAGTACTCTGTCTTCCTTGCCTGCATCGCCATGATGTGCAACGACTTTTTCGAAGGCTTCCCCGACAAGCAACCCCGGAAGAAATGAGGGCTCCTCAGATTCGGTGGGGGCCTGCCTGCTAGGGTCTTCCCTGTGGGCCGTGGGCACAAAGCCTCACCCTGGCTCCTCCAGACATGTGTAGCATGTTGAGCAAATTCAATAAAGATTATTGGAAACTATGAGGCTGATGTTCTGAAAGACGGGCATGGGGTGGGGGCTGAGGAATATGGGGGGACATGGGGGGTGGGGAGCACTGGGAGTTGAGCTGCCGTTTTATGGAGGGAAGACTAATGGAGGTGAGGGAGGGATGTGGTGTGACTGTGTGTGTGTGTGTGTGTGTGTGTGTGTGTGTGACAGAGTTGACTCTGATGGGACCAAAGGCAGATAAAGGGGCAATAGGAAGGTGAGATTGGCAGAGGGAATTTCTCCCAGGCCTGTCCCCGGAGGCTCTGACCTGGGTCTCCTCACGTCCCTGGCCCCTTCTCATTGGCCCTGTCCCTCCCCTGATTTCCTGGGGATTGGAGAGAGGGAATAAAGGCAGAGAGCAGTGGGAGGGAGTCTGCTTCTGCCGTGTGAGCTCTCTGGATTGCCGCGTCCTCGGTGAGTCCTTCCTTCTGATCTCCCTGGTCATCTATGTGGTGAGGCAATGAGGCCAGAGAGTGACAAGCCGTGGTGACCTCCACCAAGGAAGGCCAGGCCCAATGAGTGGGCATGTGTTCAGGGCAGCTTTCAGCATTTCCTGAGAAGAGGCTCTGGGGGTGGAGGTGGGGATGGAACCGGGTAGGATGTTGCTGCCCTTGCCCAGAGGCCCTTGTCTCCACTGCCGTCCTGGCCGAGTCTCCTGGAGGTGGGCAGAAGCTGAGGTTTTGGGGAGGTGGGAGGTGACCGACAGGCCCAGTTCAAGAATCGCTGGGTGGTTTGGGGCTGAAGGTGAGAGCCAGCAGCTTCTTCCTGCTTGCTCTGTACTCTGCACAGATTCACCTGCAGCCTCCGAGTTCCTTGGGTGTTGCCTCTTTCCTCTTGAAAGGGGAAGTGGTTTTCAAGGCTGAGTCACAGGAACTCCAGCTGCCCCTTTCCCTGGGTGGATGCCACTGTGCTGGTGGCCGAGAGGGCCCCATCCAATGCAACCTCTGGACCTAGCTCTCAGAATGATCCTAGATATTTTATTGTTTATTTTTTAAAGGCCGAACCGGTTTGGCTCAGTGGATAGAGCGTCAGCCTGCGGACTCAAGGGTCCCAGGTTCGATTCCGGTCAAGGGCATGTACCTTGGTTGCGGGCACATCCCTACTGGGGGGCGTGCAGGAGACAGCTGATCGATCTCTCTCATCGATGTTTCTAACTCTCTATCCCTCTCCCTTCTTCTCTGTAAAAATTCAATAAAATATATTAAAAAAATATTTTTATTGGTTTCAGGGACATTAGGAGACCCAGGTAAGAGCCTCCGGGGACAGGCCTGGGAGAAATTCCCTCTGCCAATCTCACCTTCCTATTTCCAAACAGAGGGGACGCGACAGGCTCACTGAGCCCACGGTGGCATGCACATCTTCAGCCCCTAATAACATGAGATCCGTTATTAGTAGGAATCATGTTCCTTCAGAGAAGGACAAAGGACTTCCGAAGGGATGTGTGGAGGACAGTGGCTGGAGTGGGAGCAAGGGAGACAGGGGCAAGTGACCATAATTTTGAAGACAAAATTCCAGACATATGATCTGATAAATAAAATTGAGGTTTACAATATCAGGCATGGTGTTGCTTTTCCTTAGGGTAAAGGCCCGTGGCTACAGCCTCCAGTGGGTGGGACTGAGTTTAGCTTTCCAGGTCACACCTGGGTGGGATGGGGACCTTTAAGAAACAGCTGAGTTAAAAAAAAGAAAAAAGAAAAAGAAGAAAGAAACAGCTGAGTAGAGGGCAGGTCCAGAAGCAGGGAGGGTTTGGTCTCTTGATCTTTCAAGCTTTCCCCTTTTCTTCTCAGCACATTGTGTTTTTCTCTCAAGTTTCAGAAGAATGGGGTAGATGACTCAGATATTCCCTCAGAGTGTGACTATAGAGAGAGACTTTGGTAGAACTTTGGTCCACAAAAAATTTGCCTCTTCCTCCTTCTCTCTCTGTCCTCTGCCCTGCCCAAGTCCGACCATCATCCT